AAATATGAGAGATGCCCTCTCAAAAAAAAAAAAAAATTAAAGAATATCCGTCACTATGCTCTACCAGTTAGTATAATCAGCTGAGAACAAAAAACATGTTTTCTAAGAACTAAAAGAACTGGAAGGAAACTGCAAACTGTCAGGGGCAAGCAACACAAATGCAGTGACTGTACCAGCAGTCAGGTAGCACTTCAGGGCTAGACAGGTACGTGGCCTAGTGTAGAAATAGTACCATAATAAATTTTCTGCTTCTTTACTAATCAACACACAATCTTCTATAATGGGGTATGTGAGGGAAGAAAGACCCTCAAATATTACAAAAACTGAGTATGACTATTCTCTTTAACATATGCAAATTTCAACCAATATACATCAGCAAAAAAGTATCACTCAAAAATTAAATCAAGATCACATAAAATGATTAAAAAAAGATCACATTATTGCATGTTTTTAAACTTAACAACTTTTCATTATTACCACAGTCATACCTCACGAGGATCAAAATACGACCTTGCCAACAGGTTCTCCAGATGAATATATCGCTCTGGCTGTGTTTGTTTTAACATGATCATGGGGTCAGTCTGTCTCAAAAGTGACCTGGCAGCCCCCAGTTCACGGAGCTCTATCAATTCCAGAACCACCTATATAATTGAAAGAAAATGGCTGTTTTAAATCAATCAGTAATATTTCTTTTCAGTACAATTTCTGATCCAGAAATGGCCTGCCAAAGTGATTTCAAATATTAGGAAATGCTCCTTTTCACTAGCATTTCACTAGTATACCACTGAAGTAATTACAAGTAATAATTTCAATCTTTCAACTTCCATGCTTCATTTTTCATGCTTCATTTTTATCTACTAATCTCCTCTTCTCTTAGGCCTCTTGTTCTGAATGTAAATGTTTAAGAAAGAAAAGATGGTAATAACTCCATGCACTCCATAGAAACCTTTCTCTAGTTATCAGAATTTTCTTTGAGGAATAACTGAACCCATATAGATTATAAAAAAACAAAACAAAACCAACTATTCTATTTTTACATCAAACAACATTACAGTCTTATTTCCAGGAGCCCACTCTGTTCTGTTAGATAATAACTACTGTGTATGATCTTTGTCCTGGTTTCCTGGCTCAGAGATTCTAAAAATCTTGGAATTTCCTCAGTGATAGGAGTATCTTTGTCATTAACATTGACCCAGCATCACACCTGAGTTTGTGCTAAGATGACAGCTCGTGATAAGGGCTGGTTAGCAGAAAGCACAACCGTGTGATTAGAGGGCTGAAACTCTGAGCCAGCCTGATGTACAGAGAGTTGAGGAGCTGGAGATTAAACAAAACCCCAGGGGAGCTCCCTGGTTAGTGAGCACATTAATATACAAGATGAGAGAGACACCCTGATTCCACAGGGAGAGGACAGTGATACAAGGATCTGTATCCTTGATAATAAAACTGTAATCATAAATATAGTACCTTCCTATTTTGTGAGTCACTCAAGTGAATTATAAATTCTGAGTCATGGGGACCCCCAAATTTACAGTTTGTTGTTCAGAAGTATGGGTGGCCTGAGACCCCAACATGAAGTTGGTGTCAGAAGAAAGGGCAATCTTGTGTAGAACTGAGCCCTCAACTTGTGGGCTCTGTGCTCTGAGTGGTTAGTGCCAGAACAGAATTGCAGTTCACTAGTTGGGTGTCAGAATAGCTCACTTAATGATCAATTTGAAATAATTTCAATTTGGGAAAATCTTGGTTTTTCCAAGATGAGGTAAAAAAATACAAAGTAGCACTCAAGCCCTGACAGTGTAAGTGTTAATGGCTATTACAGCCTTATAGTGCTTGAAGGAATGCCCACTGCTGCTTTCTAGTCAGAGGGCCCACAGTAAACCTGCTCTTGGGGATCAACATCACCTCCACTCTTACCTGTTCATAGAGGTCAATGAGGGTTTTGTCTGGCAACTTCAGAGACTGTATGGCCTGTAAAACAGTATCCCAATGGCCACTATTAATGTCAGCCACAAAACTCTCAATGCTGTCCACAGTATTCAGAGATACAGTAGTTTCTTCCTGTAAGGTAGCCAATGCCCGATGTAAACTATTCTCCTTCAGGTACTGCATGATAAGGCGGATCACACTGAAAAAAGAAAGCAAGCCATCCAGCTCACAGATCCTCTTTCACCAAGAGGCCACAAATAACTCTTACCCCAGCTTATTTCTCTTACTCAACCATCCTCCTTTCACTACCTACTTTGTTTCGTTATCACGTAAGTAAAAATTTCCAAAATCACAGAACCTAAGTTACCAGGGACCTTGGGGTTCATCCTGTCCTACCTCCATCTCAGAAATAGGAGTAATGGAGTTTAAGAAAGGGGAAATAATTTGCCCAATGTCTCACAGGCAGCTAGAAAGGGAGTTGATACTAAGGTGACTCTTTATTTCCAAGGCTTGAGATCTTTTTATTATGCCAAGTTTCTTTTTAATCTATGTAATTATATTGTTGTGCACTTTAATGAAATATTTAAACCTAGCCTAGTCATTGATATAAAACAGCTTAAATGCTTGTAGGATGATTTGGTTCATTTTTTAAATAAACCCAAAATTATGGATTGAGATTTTCTTAATAGGGATTTGCTGGACATAAATAAGTAGAGCTACACTGTATGTAAAAGCAAAACAAAGCTGTGTTCTCATCTGCAAAAATAACACCCGTCCACTGCCTTTATGACCAAATTTTCAGGATGGGTCAAACAAAAACATTTATTCAGCTTCCCAAGGAAATAAAGTGAAGTTAAAACTTCTGGGGGTTCATCTTTCCAAGGAAAAGAGGAGGCAGACAATTTCCAAATAGTTAGAAAATAAGCAACATTTTTCAACATGTGACAGAAAACTTAAAATCATTTATAGTTAAATATATAAATTTTACACTTAAAACTTCTTGATCTTGGACTTAAGAATGAGGAATCTGGCAAAGATATGTTCATACAGACTGTAAAAGTTCACTGTACAATGCTGTGACACACTGTTTTTCTTCTCTTTCTTTAAAAGTGCATACTTGGCTCACACTGTATTTCTACTGGTAGGGGTTCAGACTGTCCTGGTTGGAATCTCATACTGAAATTTAGTTAATTCCCTCTCCTCAGGAGAAATAATAATCATAGAACAATAACCAATGTTTATTATGTATTTACTATATATGAAATACTGTTCTAAGCATTTTAGACATGCTGTCATTTAGTCCTCAAAACAACCTTATGAAGTATTATTATTATGTCCATTTTACAGATGAAGATTTGACCAAGTAACAGAGGTAAGTGGAAAAATGAAGATTCAAACTGACAGTGTGGCTCATGGGCATAAATTCATGGCAGGAAAGCAAACACCTAAAAACAACTCCTACAGAAGGAAACTGTTTACTGTTACTCATAGTATTCTCAGGGTCCCTTAAGAGATACCCAGGTTTAGATCCCTGCTATTTTAGCACCTATCTTCCTTGGCACACTTCGATTTGCATACCCAAAATAAGACATTCAATTCCCTGTAAAGATGTCATGTTTGACATAGCCAAAATCAAATGTATTTCCTTCAAACACAGTGTAATACATAAAGAGCTAAGAACTTTGAAGACAGGCTGGAATTTGAATGAATTCTGTCCCTTACTAACTGTGACCCTGGGCAAGTCACTTAACATCTTTGTGCCTGTTTCCTCATCTGTTAAGAAAAATATCTAATCCTGCAGGTTTGGTGAAAGGGTTGACTATACTGCCTATAGTGTGACTAGCACAGAAAACACTCAGTAACTACTAGTTATTATTGCTAATAAAAACATGCAGCAGCTCAAGGCTGGGAGAATAGTTGGTGTCCAGCTATTACTCAGGTCTCAAGGCATGAAACTCTTTCCAACTCCTACCCTGATTTAGTTGTCTTAAATCTCCAACATTCTCTATCACTCTTCTTTGCTTTATTTTTCTCCATAATACTTATCACCATCTGTCAAGTCTCTAATACTTTACTTACTGTTTTTGTCTATTGCTTGTGTTCCACAATCACAATGCACATTCTATAAGGGCAAAGATTTCCGTGTTTTGTTCAGTACTGTATCCCCAGGGTCTAGTAGAGTACATAGTGGACTTCAATATTTGTTGAATGAATAAACTTCCTTCCCACCTATGGAAGGCTTCAGGACAAGTCCTACCCCTTACATTCAGGACACAAATATTGTCTGTTCATTTAATTAAGTGTGGCAAAGGCAGGGTGGAAGATGGATTCCTAGAGAAATTCACTGAAGACCCTCGGTCACTCAGTCGCCCTCGTTTCCAGACCTATCATTCTTTTGACCCCATCTTCACATTCTGTTTCTCCTTTAGACAGAGCTCACGGTCTAACAAAATTCAGCGCCAGATAAAACCTGGTAAAATAGCCAGTCGTCATTTCAAAGGCAGCAGTCGAGTCTGCTGCCTAACTAGGTACTAGGACATTAAGGAAAATAAGTCCCTAGGAGCCTCTACACAGACTAGTAGTATGGGCAGTGACAATACTGGTTTAAGTGCCGGGCAGGGGAAAGCAAAGGGCCATGTAAACACAGGAAATACATCACACCCTTTAAGAACGGTGGTGAGAGAAGCAAGGTTTAGAGTCCAAGCCCTCTTGTGCAGATAATTAGACTGGTGAATGGGTAATCTGATCAATCACTGGGCGCGCTACGAGTCGAAGATGGCTACAACTCAGGTCTTCAACGTGAAGTCTTCCCCAAGCCCTAAAGCACCTCCCACGGGGCTTTGGCTTCTCTTCCGCTACTTTCTTGTGAGCCCGTCTCGAGGTTGCCAGACCCAAGAAATTTCTTTGTGGGCAAGGAAATACCCCTCCACTACCTAGTCTCTCGGATGCCTTCCCCGAGCACCTTCCAGCCCACATCCTTCACTTCCCGGCCCCCGCCACTTCGCCAGCATCCGCCACCGCAGGACTCACTCCGAGGACTCTATTTCAATCGACATGGTATTTTCTTCCCAGGGACAGGCGCCTCTCCACTCTCCGACCCCGTCGCACAACACACCAACGACACCTCCGGCGGCTGCTTACGACACTTCCGCTCGACGTACGGCGCCCTCTCTGGGTGCTGTGTGTACGACCGAGGGGCGTGGAGTACGTGGGGTGGGGGGGGGCGGAGGCTTGCGGAGCTGTCTGAAGTAGGTGTTATAGCGCCTGCTGCAGAGAAGAGGGCTCCAGTTTCTCCCTGGAGGACGACTTATGGCTAGAAGCACTGTTCAAAAATTTTGCTTTCATATGGTACAAATAGTTGATTATATTTGAAGATAGGATTGAATTTGCAGTATCTGACTGAGAGATTAATACATTCGAAACCAATGGAACCCTAGCCAACATTTGCAGGAAGAGTTGATAATAGGTAAATAGATAAATAAAAATTTAAAAACAAATGAGGCTTTGAAGCCAAAACACAGTTTAATCAGTCTAAATATACAAGTCTGGGACCTAGTTAGGATTTACATACCCACTTCTTGGAAAGAGCTAAATTACACCAACTAAGTATTTAGTTGTAAAAGGTTTTACTGCAGTGGTAAGGTTACTGGAAAAACAATGACACCAAATGCAAATGTGTAAAGGAAGATTTGAAAAACCTTTTCATAGACTTTAAACCATACATTATTAAATTAGTAGAAACAAATGAAATGTAAGGGTATCAGTGAATCACAAAGACTAGTTTTTAAAATATTTTATTGCCGCTCTATACACATTTTTTTAAATGTTTGCATTTAAAATGCATCTTTTTTCTCCAAATCTTCCTCCATTTCCCATAAGTATGGGAAATATATATTGCTATATAACAAATTAATTTAATGTTTCCTACATTTTAGCAAGATACTGATTATTTTTAATTATCTGTGTGAGTAGATAACATTATCTATGAATTTCAGGTTACCGAAGGGAATGTTACAAAATATTTGAAGGACCTGGAGCCTACAAGCACTTGAGAACATGTTAGGAAGATCTGCATCATAACCAATTTCAACATAATAACTCCACTTTCTTATTATTTCTCTTACTCTTTCTCTTTAACCTTAAAAAGATATTTTAGAAAATATTTCTTTTGACAAAGAAACACGTAAAGTGAAGCAGTTTCACTTCAGTTTCTTTTTATTCTATTACAGGTACAATTAAATTGATTACTTTTTTCTTAAAAAAAGAACACGTGTTATATGATCCTACATTATGAAAACACAGGTCCACATTCCTTACCTGCAATTCTGAAATCTAAAACACTGTGAAAATTAAAGGTATTTTATAAGTCATTTAGCAGTAAAATTGCCCTGAATTTAAGTGAGGCCATTTGCAGTTTTTAAGACATGTCTTAGTGTTAGTATGTATTCATATGCAGCAATGTTAATATATTTGATTATGGAGTACTGCCTATATCCTGCTGGGAGATACAAGATATACAGCATATATGCCATATTATCTTTCCAAAATATAAAAAACTCCAAATTCCAAAATATCTAGCCTAAAAATTTTCAGAAAAAGTATTGTAAGCCTGTTCTATCTACTATCTATCTAATCTCCTATAGTATGTATACATAAAGGCTCTGGATTTATATTTATCTAACAACACTGGGTGATAGGATTTGGACAAATAGTTTTATTCTCTTCATTCTTCTGCATCATTTAAATTATTTTCTATAAGCATGTAAAAAGTAAATTTTTTTTAATTTCAAGAAGAAAAATTACAGTACTTAAAGATGCGAATGTTGGTTATCTGAAAAATTAATATACATGAAAAATCTCAATCTCTGATCATTCTAATTTCAGAGAAATAAAAATTGCCTTATCTTAACTAAAGAAAAAAAGATGCGTGGGGTTGGGGTAGGAGAGTAAACCACTAAAATTCTATCTACATTGCTTGCTGCTTGAGAAAATACCTGGTACCAAGCAGCCTGTTTCAAGTAAGAACTTATTATTTGCTTCTGTATCTATGCTTTATACACATACATCAACCAGATCATCAGACACCATTCTTGAGAAATGAAACTTTTAGCAGCCACAGATGTATCCTCATCCTTTGCTTCTTAGATACATTGGATTTTTAATCTCTGATTGACAACCAATGTTTGTGGCTTTGCAAACTGTCCTTAAATGTAATAATGGACTTGAATGCGACATTTTGTTACCATATGCTAGTGAAACTGCAATCTTTTCCTAGTTAGGAAAGTTTTTTTTCCACCTAAACTAGCTGTTACATATAAATCTTCTGTATCCCAACTATATAATCTGTCAATTTCCATTTCCTTTCCATACCCAAAGGGTCAGCTTTTGTTACCTTGACTGATCCCTTATTAGTTAGTTGATAAACTTTGGCAATTGTTAAAGATCAATTTGCCTAGGAAATTTTATTTTTAGCACTAGACAAATGAGGTCTCTTGCATCTGTCCATCTGTATATAGATAAACTCAAACAAGACACACCATACAGAGAACTTCTAACCTCTAAACTAGGGGGTTGTATTCCTTAGGAAGCTTCCCACCACCACCTCACACTCAGAGGCTGGGTCACCACCTCATTGATTTGATCTCTAGGACTGAACAAATGGCCTAGAGTGACCCCAAGGGAATCCGATCTACTGATCACGTCTCCTTTCCGGAAAGCTGGCCCTTCCCTTAAATCCATGTCTCCAACATCTACCTCCATTAATCCAGCAGAGGGCAGACTGACCACAGAAAAGCTGCCATGTAAGCCAGCTTCCCAGTGTCTGGTTTCTAAATAGGAGAGGTGTAGGTAAAGGAGAGATATCCTAGGTCTCATGGGCAAAGGAAGTACAAGGTCGGGTCAGTATTTGAGTAACAAAATGGGGCACAGGTTTACCCCTTCCTATTAAACTGGACCAATTTCATCTAACATGACAATAGGCAAAGTATAGAAAAAATTAATTACACCATTCTACCTGCTCATGGCAGGACATGACTTGGTGGTTTCAATTTTGTTCATTTTAATTCCCACCTCCAACCCTAGGGCAGGAATCCCTTCATCATCCCTGATGACAGACCTTCATCTTTTTTGTATACCAAACAAGAGTTGATTTTTTTGTATACCTGCATAAATGAAAGCCACATATTCCAATTTAGAGCAACATGTGCTTTCCTGTAACAAAAAGCAAAACTGTTCCCTTCAGAGATTGCAATGTGACTCTGGTCCTAAGTCAAAAGGGGAGTTTCCCCACATGGATTAGTTTTTATCAGGGCCAAAAACCTTTCCCAGAAACCCCTCCCCATTCAGTTGATACACTGGCCAAAGTGGCATCATATGTCCATTCTCAAATTGAAACCATCCTGGCAAAGAGAGTAGAATTACCATGGTGGCCTGAATATGTGCATGTGCCCCCTAGGGCTGTAAAGGGACTGCTTTCCTGAGCATCTAAACACAGTTGCAGATCATCTGGCAAGAAAGAGAAGATGGAGTTTGTGGAATGATTGATGGGTGGACACCACCTGTATCTGCGTGGTCTTGTCTATGAGGCTGGTAGGAGGCACTAAAGGGTCCCATCACACAGACAAGAAAGCAGAGAGCAGGAACTGAAGGGCCCCACTTAGATCTTACAGTGAGTGAAATTCCAAGCTTGTAAAAACTCATTTATGTTGACTCCTGTCCCTTCCCTTCCTTCTTTGACCAATGTCCAAATCAATAGCTACAGATGCTGTCCTCAGTGGACTTGCCAGTTCTAGGCTTATAAGATTAGAGGGAAGCAGAGGGAAAAGATGCCTTCCTAAGCAGGTAATGAAATGGGACTGATTTGGGGCACAGAGAATAGCTCTAGCCTGACATGACAATGGACAAGACCTGAGCTGCACATGCACATGAAGCGCCTTCCAAGGAAACAGCCTCACCCACAGCATCACCTAAAAGGACAACTGTAGATGACTATGTTTCATACCATGTGACTCCAATCTCCATCCTAGTTTGAACTGATTGGACTAGAAGTAGATACTGGACCCAAAAGAAGATAAACTATAGCCTAATTGGTATTCTGCAGTGTCAACTGGTTCAAAAAGATGAGTTGAGCCAGTATGTGTTTCTCTGTCTCAGCTTGAAAATGTGGAGAGATCAGGCACTTAGGAGTGGGAGCAACTGAAAAGTCTAACATGTGTGTGGGTGGGGTGGGCGTAATGAGGTAAGAAAGACAGACATGTAAGGCAGCTTTAGCAGAAAGTGTAAAAAGGTATTGAACTGAGAGAAGAGAAAGCCAGTGAGTATATATAAGGTGAGCATGGAATAGAAACACTTGAATTATGCTGAGTGGTGTTAATGAAGGGATTCTGTAATGGGTAACCTTAAACTCCACTGTTTTGTTGAGGATGCTGGAGTAACCTCTGAGCTTAGAGAACCTCCACTTCCAGGTTCCTAAAGGCCTGCACCATTGTTCCTATTTTTAGATTTCTGAGCTTCTGTCTTCTTCTTTTAGCTGACTTTTATCCTTTAATAACCCTTCTTTCCTTAGAGTAGCTTGTAGAATGCTATTTCTTGCTTCGAAAGGAGCCTAAGCAATATACACCTTTGGAGTGAAAGGAGCTGTACTGAGAGTGGTTAAGAGCACAGATTGCCAGGGTCAGAATCTCAGCTCTGCCACTTATGCACTGTGTGACTTTAGGCAAGTTACTTAACTTCTCTGTGCCTTGTCTCCTCATCTATACAATAAGGATAATGATAGTACTTGCCTCAAAAGTTATGAGGATCAAGTGTACTAACACATATAAAACACAGCAGTGCCCGGTATGTAAGCACTGAGTGAGAGTTTGCTATTATTATTATATAGAAGAAGCAAAACCCTTTTCTTATTTTTGCTCCTTAACATGATATAAAAATTAATACTGAAAGTCAAGATGAAGTTTAAAACTGGTGAGTTTTGGAGGAAAGGATTCCACCCCTCTTTGGTGCAAGGTCTCACAGATGGGTTTGTACCCTGATCATGCACCACCAGTTGGTGGATGGCTGATGCCCCATAATCCTCTTACTTTGTCTTGATCCCTGGAATTCCT